CACCTCACCTTACATCTCTTTAAATAAAGAGGGGCATGTCACCGAAATTAAGAACACCGGCTACACCCTCACATCTTTCATACTGAGTTATGGAGAGGTGCTTGTTTTCCCAAACTTCCAACACCCGGGCAACCTGCTAATTGCACCCATGGAGTCAGAGATGAAGTCCGATAACTTAATAGTTATGGCATCAGGCTCCACACTCATGATAGAAGTCATGCTAATGGGTAGTACTATTAGGGATTCAGGCCTGCGCCTTTTACCTGGGGTGTCAGTATATTGGGATGACACCGCATCAACCCCCATACGTTGCCGTATCATCATACAATTGGGGGCCCAACGGACATTACTTCTCTATTTGACAGACCTGCCGGGGGTTGGTATAGCCCAAAAGTCCCCTATTATCGTTTCCAGTATCTTCGTACACCTGGATCTAAACCTTATAAGCCTCAAATACATTGACCGACTATCAACAAAAGCCCAATTAAAAAATATCTGGTAAGATATATTATATGCACACAGGATGGGGCTATACCCAGTCGTAGAGGAAGTAGCGAAGACCCTGGAAACCGTAGACGGGTTCCTCTTGCGACAGTTATGTGATGTAAAACGCCAACTAGAACAAGACCGTGACACTCGGAAAGCACTATATAAGAAGTACCATGGAGCTTTCAATGCCTTGGACGGGACTGATACTGCCCTTATGACGACCAGCATGGGACTGGGGGCTGCAGGTGTTGGATTGTTAGCTACCATCGTGGCCAAACCTATAGTTCTAGGCATTGAAATAACAGCTGGGGTGTTAGGGTGTTAGGGTTGGTGCTTAAGTTTGCATCCCGCAGACTGCATCGTAAGGCATTGAAACACGATGAAATCAGGGTTCTGGCCGAAGCAAAGCTGAACACGGTAAGTGAGCGTATTTCCACGGCACTCACTGACAGTAAGATCTCAGAGGAGGAGTTTCATTCAATCCTCTCTGAACTCACAAAATATAACAAAATGAAACAAGAGATTCGATCCAAGTCTCGTAAGTCTGCTATCAGCGAGGACGAGAAAATAAAGTACAGTGGAAACCGCTTAAGTAAAGACCGCTTAACTAAACATACCGGATAAGTAAACACTATTCTTTGGTCCCGGCAAATTTCTTCATTAATTATCATTATTAGAGTCCGGTTAACTAAACTCGGATAAGTAAACAATACCGCTTAACTAAAGGTTTTTTCACGATCCCTGGAAGTAAATTCCTTAACAAAAGAGACCGGATAACTAAATTAGCGATCACCACATAATCCGACATGAGGGGCACGTGTCAGTCTCCAGTCAAACAAACATCCTACTTACAGCTCGCTGTCGTCATGCAGTTAACAATACACTGACAACTGGAAGCCAGCCCTGATAAGTTGTTCATTGTTTTAGGTAGCTTGCGAGTATCAGTGATTACACCAATCAGCAATGACAGTGAGTTTATTCAGTTTACATTGTGAATGACATGAAGCAGGCCGCCATTACGGTCACGTGACAAGTACAATCTCGCTGCGATTTTGGAATAAGATCAATTGGAAAAAATGCTTGTTTATTTAACACAAATGCTATCGGATAAAACAGAGGGAAAAAATATGTATCGTCAGTCTAGTCTGGCAAAATGTCTGAGCAATCTCGCGAAGGACCTAGCGTGACTGGGGGGGATACCGAGATCAAATCGTTCTGTCAAAGGTAAACGCAAACTTGTGGCAAAGTCTATTGAGGACAAATTCGCTGCACTTATAGAAATTGAAAATGGTGTGTCAAAGTCAGATGTTGCAAAGACATTCAACATACCCACTGCTACTTTGTACAACTGGATCAGAAATTCGGACAAAATTAAGGAATGCTACCACAGAGACAATCCCTCATGACATCTTTTGTGGAGTAAAATGTTCGACTGTTAGACTAAAATATTTTGTTTCATTATGTTTGATTTTTATTACTTTGTATTATAAATGTATAACTTAACGCAATGAATTTGATTTTTATTACTTTGTATTATAAATGTATAACCTAACGCAATGAAATGTTAGGGAATAAAACATGTCATATTACTTACAAATGTTGTCTGTTGTTCTGCTGTCATTTCCGGGTTTTGATAAGTTTGGATAAGTAAAATACCTGATAAGTAAACAATTTTGGCGAGTCTCTTGAAATTTTACTTATCAGGTTTATACTGTACATAGAACAGGGAGTACAAAAAGCCCAACAAGCCTTTATTACAAACACAAAAGAGATCATAGGCGATTCACATTAAACTGTTTCATCGAGGTCAACGTGGCATAGCGGCACAGTACTGCCACGTGTGGCCGGGAAGTTAACTGGGGGCTCAAAAGTAGTAGATATACTGGGGCGGGATCTAAGGGCCTGACAAAAGCTTTATTTGTGAAATAAGGCTTTGCAGAGGCTTTTGTTGGACTTGATCTCGGACTATCATTATATATACTACTAGTGCTATCAAGTGAAAGAGCACCATTTTACCTGTGACTTAGAAAGACAGGGAATCATACAAATGAATTGATGTGTATGTTGTGAAAAAGAGCTATAGCGAATGAAATCGACTTTTTCTTTATATGCCCTACACCAAATAACCTGAGAGTTTTGTATATACCAAAATAATACTTAAATATTCCACCAAGTTGCATTCTTTTCTTTTATGACCTGTAGAAATGATACCCATATTACACTTGTGATTTTATTTAAAGCATGCAACAATGTTAAGAAATAACCTTTCCCAAACCTTGTACTCAAATATGTTCTCCCTCACCATGTCCTCAAAATGTCGTCAGTCTGAAAGTACAGGGTTACAATACTACATATTACAAATGTGACTTGCGATTCCATTAAGAATATCTTGCCTTCTTGTAAATACACAATTAAAATTAGATGAAAATATAATTGCTTCAAAAGCGCGACGAACGAACATTTTATAGTTACCTCGCACCTCTTTTGATGAGACTGAGTTAATAATTCTCACGGTTCAACTGTTATGTTCAAGGATACATATGTACCGTATGCCTTTAGGTATTTATGGGGTACACAAGTGGCCAAGTCTACAGGTACCTCTCACACACCAGAACCTATGATCCCGGGTTGGAATATCATAAGTGTCCAAGTCTACAGGTACCTCTTACACACCAGAACCTATGATCCCGGGTTGGAGTATCATAAGTGTCCAAGTCTACAGGTACCTCTTACACACCAGAAACCTATGATCCCGGGTTGGAATATCATAAGTGTCCAAGTCTACAGGTACCTCTTACACACCAGAAACCTATGATCCCGGGTTGGAATATCATAAGTGTCCAAGTCTACAGGTACCTCTTACACACCAGAACCTATGATCCCGGGTTGGAATATCATAAGTGTCCAAGTCTACAGGTACCTCTTACACACCAGAAACCTATGATCCCGGGTTGGAATATCATAAATGTCCAAGTCTAAAGGTACCTCTTACACACCAGAAACCTATGATCCCGGGTTGGAATATCATAAGTGTCCAAGTCTACAGGTACCTCTTACACACCAGAACCTATGATCCCGGGTTGGAATATCATAAGTGTCCAAGTCTACAGGTACCTCTTACACACCAGAACCTATGATCCCGGGTTGGAGTATCATAAGTGTCCAAGTCTACAGGTACCTCTTACACACCAGAACCTATGATCCCGGGTTGGAATATCATAAGTGTCCAAGTCTACAGGTACCTCTTACACACCAGAAACCTATGATCCCGGGTTGGAATATCATAAGTGTCCAAGTCTAAAGGTACCTCTTACACACCAGAAACCTATGATCCCGGGTTGGAATATCATAAGTGTCCAAGTCTACAGGTACCTCTTACACACCAGAAACCTATGATCCCGGGTTGGAATATCATAAGTGTCCAAGTCTACAGGTACCTCTTACACACCAGAACCTATGGTCCCGGGTTGAGTATAATTTTTGTTTCTAGGCGAGTCAGTTACAACACGCTCTCATGGAAGACCACGGAATGTAAAGTTTTTCACATGTGTGTCATTTTGTCAATATCAAGCTGACACATTGTGATATAACTAAACCACCGGGCAAAAGAAAGTTCCCTTGACAAAAAAATAGAAACAAAGGCGTATGTAAGACATATAATAAGAAGTCATTTTACAATAATTTGAAGGAAAATGTATTGTAATGCGTGTCTTGCATTTGTCACAATTAATTAAAAAAGAGTCAATTTGTCAAAATGGGTCTGACAAGATCAGATTTTAATTCAAGTGCATAAAGAGTCATATAATAAGACTGGAGTCAAGATATAGCATCAAATCGTAGTTTGGTCAAGTCTCTGTCTGTTCGATAGAGGTACACGCTGTCTCAGCTGACGATCCAGATGATCCCAGAGATGTTCAATGGGGTTTATGTCTGGAGAACGCGCTGGCCAAGGCAATACTTTGACGTTAATTGTGCAGGTATTCTCGAAATATTCTGGCGGTGTAAGGTAAATCTCCCAGATGTCTTCGGCCAATGTCGTGATTCTTGGTTTTCCCAATCTAGAGAAGAGCAATCTTGGGTCTGGCTTGTTTGCTGGTAGCGGTTTATCAATTTGCTGATGGGGGCCTCGCTGTAGTTAAAGGTTCTTGCAAGCAGACCTTGTGAAGCCCCCATGTTGGCTATACGATCGCCCTGTCTCGTTGTGCTTGCATAAGTCTTGGCACATTCATGGTGCTTTATTGGTTATTGTATGCTAGCTCTGTCCAACATCGGTATTTATGCCACAATCATGCACAATTACGTTTTTCACGTTTTGAAAAATGCACGATTCGTACGAAGTTTTCGGACAGCTGAGTTGTTTGGCGAATGTCTTCAGTTTCAAACCTGTACCAGCGTTTGGTTTTCTTATTCATAACTTTCTTTCGCCCAGTAGTTTAGAATAGTATTCAAAGGTGCGTTAAACACAAGTTATTCACGTGATTATACATTGACCAATTAAATCAATCTTTCAGAATCACGCTTGCATCTTAAGCCCATGCAAGTTTGGTGAGGTGTGTATTCCGGTGACGTCAGCGGCAGACTTCGTATGCTTGCTTCCCGGAGATCAAGTATCAACAACAACTCAATATTCTACTCCTACTACGATGCCTACAACGCCGATTCCGACAACGACACCAACAACTACACTAACAGCTCCGATGACAACAACTCCAACAACAACAACTCCAACAACAACACCGACCACAACCACTCCGGCAATGACTTCCACCAAAACCACTCCAACAACTACGATGACGACAACCACTCCGACAACAACGACTCCAAGCACAACCACTCCGACAACTACGATGACGACGACGACTCCCACAACTACAACTACGACAACGACAACGACTCCAACAACAACTACTACAACAACAACGACGACTAGAGGTAGGAAAAGGGACATCACGTATAAATAATTACACTTTTAGTACTTCCAATCCCAAATGTTACTCTTCAAAAGAAATAGTGAAATTGGCTTCGCACTTTCAAAAGAAGTAGCTATAGTAGAATAGTAGAAATAAACGTGCTGTGGCAAATATGGTCAGTACTTCACAGTGACTAGCAGACTATTGAACACTACCAGCATTTAGGACACATCGTCAAAACTGCGCTGAACGTCGATGGTCACAAGAAACGGTCACTTGAAAGGAATATAGTGACAAAATAATGGCGCCTTTTCTTGTCCTACCTGAAGGCGTATTGGCCTACAATCCGTCTTTTGAACGACCACGCCAGTGCTCACCGTGTTCAAATTGTCATTGCTCACACTCAGCAGCACACATTCCATAGAATACTATGGTCAGCAATGAGTCCTGACTTTCCCTGAATGATGACGTCTGGGAAATGATAAGGATATGTGGGTGTCAACGTCGTAAGCGGCCTACGTTTGCTCAACTTGGTCAGGCGCTGCACGAGGAGTGGGAAGGGTTCCTACGAATGGTCTTGGGAGACTCATGCGTGTCAGGTGATCTTCAATGATACACAGGGTCTGAAATTTCCGATCACATTGGTGTAATGTGTTCCCAATTCGTTCATGTTTATCATAAATCTCCTCGCCACGTATGTGATATATGCAGACTAAACAGAAAATGACATGTGTATTACACGTTATTTTAATTAATATCCTGTCCACTACATACGCAATCGTAAAGAAACGAAGTAAAGTCAGTAATATTCGCCACATCGGAAATGTTCAAATAGAATTCATATTTCATTTACTATCGCTATCAATATAAATAAATGACGCTGATAATGAATATACATAGTTTACGTTCGATAGGTGTTAGTGTTTGACAGAGGAAGGCATATCGTCGCAAGTTGCTGCATTTGGAGATTCACGTTTAAAATGACACAACTAAATACAACTTGTCATACACATGAAGCGTAATATGCACAATAAGGAGATGAAAATTATCATTTAGTAAATACTGGAGAACACGGCTGAACAACCACAGAAGAAGAACATTGATTTGGTTTGTTTGTAGTCTAAGACCGCATTCAGCAATACTGCAGCTATATGGCGGCCGTCTGTAAATAGACGAGACTGGACCAGACAATCCATTGATCAACAGCATGAGCATCGATCTACGCAACTGGGATACGATGACATTTGGCAAGTTAGCGAACCTCATCAACCAATCCTGTTAGTAGCCTCTTACAAATACATAGCATTGGAAGCAGTCCACTTTCTCGCGATATTCCTGTTTTGTAAAATAAGACGAACTGATGTTGTTCTGATTAACGCATTTTATTAGTGAGTGAGTGAGCGAGTGAGTTTAGTTTTCCGCCGCACCCAGCACTATTCCAGCTATATGGCGGCAGTCTGTAAATAATCGAGTCTGGGCCAGACAATCCGGTGATCAACAGCATGAGCATCGATCTGCGCAGTTGGGTTCCGATGACATGTGTCAACCAAGTCAGCGAGCCTGACCACCCGATCCCGTTAGTCGCCTCTTACGACAAGCATTGGTTACTGAAGGTTCATTCTGACCCAGGCCTTCACGGGTACGCATTTTATTCAACAGAAAACCCTTCAAATATTATTTCTGAAGGTTTAGGCCCAATTGTAGTTGCTCAAGATACATGAATTGTGTTTGACCTGAGTTTTCGATTCGCAAGATTAATTATCCACACTGTCGTGGAACAATGAAACACAGTTATCCAGGTCACTTCTTGCCTCCTCATTGGTCGGATGGTGAACCGATGCCCCGTATTCCCGGAATCCCCACAATGTTAAGGCGGTGATTATCTTTCTGGGAGAATACATGAGTGGGCTGACAGATGGTGTATGTGTGTTGAAGAGGTGTTGACTAATTGGACGGTGGAAGATGCTCTGATGCACATGGAGGATAGTGAAGACTGTGTGGCTCATGGGAATCGCAGTTGTATCGTATCGTGTCTTTAAAAGTGAAAATACTGATGATGATGATACTAATGGACAGTTACTTGCGTCATATCACCCCTAGGTACACGCTCGTATCGTAATGATTGTACATCTTATCCTACCTGACCGCCTCCGTGGTGTAGTGGTTAGAGCGTCCGCCCGGAGAGCGGAAGGTCACGGGTTCGATCCCCGACCGCGTCATACCAAAAGACGTTAAAATATGGTACTAGTTGGTCCCTGCCTGGCGCTCGGCATTAGTGGGTGCAACAAAGACTGGCCGGCTCGGAGTCAGTATAATGTGTCTGAGTGGGGTTTTCATGCTTCACTGCGGCATGGTATTTCAGTGGGCTAGCACTATAGAACCAGCTTAAGTCTGGGCTAGTACAAGCAGCCGCACATACACATACACGTCGTCATATGAACGAAATATTCTCAAGCACGACGTCAAAAACAATATCACCTCACCTCACCTCTTACCCTACCTCTGTTGCAGACTGCTCGACGTATTCAAGTTCATTCACAAGAATTCAAGGATACGTGGTCTGGCTGCTCAACAATAGAAGCATCTACAGCGTCAGCTCGGTATCAACGTGTCAACAATACTGTGTACAGAATACACCGTTCACGTGCAAGAGTTACGAATACTATTACGGAAAACAATGGTGTTTCCTCCAGTCCTTTGTAAAGGATGATGCTCTCAGCGAATGGAGAAAAGATTCCAGGGGAGACTATTTCGAACGTTTGCGTCAGTGTGATATCTCTGTGTGAGGTAAAACAAAGGCCCCAGAGTCAAATGCATCACGTGTTGCAATAACGTTACAACGTGTTTGTTTTTATATGGGAGAATATCTCGAAATTATCAAAGTCGTTGACGTATGTCCATGACAACATATATGGTAAGGTATTTGTAAAGAAACAAAAGAAAGATGTGCTTTGGTGGGCAGGAGGCGATAGGATAGAGTGTTTCAGCTTTCGCAAGTCACTGAGTTAACTCGGTCTCTATTCCCCACAAGAACATGATGTTAGAAGCCCATTTTTTGGTGTACTCCAATTGCTGTAAAACTATACTCATCCACTGTTTGGGGTACAACAGGCGTTCCGCGTGCAATGGAAGAATCCAGTTCAGTTCGAGTTTGGAGGGTTTTCGGGGAGGGGGAGGGGGACGAGTTGTTGGTTTTTTGTGCATTTGACGTGATGTCCTGGTCAACGTGTATTGGTCAGTGAGACACATGACATGGGCTGTTGAAGGACCGTCAACCCCTGCTTCAGTTATGGACAACAGGGATGGCTTCATTATCTTTCTTCCGGGTTGGGGAAATCATTAGCATTCAGAGGAACATATTGATTCTTGAGAGCCGTAGAAGCACAGATAATCCGGTAAACAATTATCTTAAACAGTGCATTGTTGATTTATAATTGATAATTCTTTACTTGTTAACTGGACATTCGGAATGGCCAGAGGATTCCTAGCTCAGACTCAGCTGCATCAACAATAGACTGGCATTAAAATCATGTCTACTATGAGGGGCAGAAGTTTAACGAAGGCTGAACTGTTTAGGTCTGTTGTATTATTATAGCTGCAATGTGTTGCAGATAACCGTTTATATTCCGAAGCAGTTTTTCGTGAAAGATCCTCTGTGCGCTTGTATCATCACCATGCCGTTTTCACTAGGAAATACATATCAACTTCTCCTGAATATCTTACAAAATAACGCCAAGAAAGAATCAATTTGTTTTGTTGTTTAACACAACCATCAGCAATATTATTCCTTGAGTCTGTAAGAAATCAAGTGAGTTTGGTTTACGCCTTACTTAGCAATAATGCAGCTATATGGCGGCGGTCTGTAAATAATCGAGTCTAGACCAGACAATACAGTGATCAACATCATGAGCATCTTCCTGCGCACTTGGTAACCGATGGCATGTGTCAACCAAGCCAGCGAGCCTGGCAACCCGATTTCGTTGTTCGCCTCTTACGATAAGCATGTGTTACGGAAGGTTCATTCTAACCCGGAACTTCACGGGTAATCAAGTCTGGACAAGGCAAGCAATTGAATGGCATCATAAACATCTATCCACGTATATGGAACACGATTACATGTGTCAACACATCTGACCATCCGATTCCCTTGGTTGCTTCTTACGGCAAGCATGGGCTGCTGAAAACCGGTTCTTACCCGGACAATTTACGACAACAGTGCAGTATGAATGGTACAATACCATTGCACACTAAAGGTTCAAAGACACAGCTGTTTATTTGTATCATCAAACTGTGTATTTCTTAATTAAGTCCCTTGTGCTTTAAATAAGGGTGTAAAATAGATATGATATATGTGGGAAATATGCATTGCCACTATGTAAATTAATAGCACCATTTGACAATTCGTTTAGCTTTTAGTTGTTTGTTTGCACTGAGACGTAACCCAGTCTCAATATAGCGACGATAGTCATAATCGAGGCTAACGAGGCTAACCGGTTGACAAGAATTTATTTTCAACATGATAAGCACTGAAACATTAAGGTTCGAACTCTTGAGCTGACAAATGTTGAGACAAAATATACTGAGTCAAAAAAGAAACTTCACATTCTTTCTTCAGGGCACTATAAAAGAACAAGAGATGGTAAAATGGTAAATTGTTATTATTTCATTGCTGAGATCTGTGTGATGTACTCGATACACTGACATTGCCATAATCAGTTTCATTAGGCTACACCGCCGTTCCAAAACATGGGTATACAGAATGTCAAGTCACAAGAATAAAAATGCGAAATTTCTCAGTTCAATATCGTGTATGGCCGCCCCGCGCATTCACCACTGCCACACACCATCACCTCATCGACTGCCTGATGCTTGTGAACACGTGGTTTGGGATTGCTCTTGCAAGGCAGCGCCAAGTTCCTGCAAATTCTGAGGTTGGTTCCTAAGACCACGAAGCCTTCTCCCAAGTGCATCCCAAACGTGCTCTATTGGATTAAGGTCAGGGGACCTCGATGGCCAGTCCATGACGTTGATTTCAGCGTTTTGAAAGAAATTTCGTGTCAACATCGCGGTATGCGGCCGAGCATTATCATGCTGGAACTGTAGACCTGGGCCATGAGCCGCCATGAAAGGAACGGGTTCAGGGGTGAGCACCTGGTCGCGGTAAGCAGCAGCTGTGAAGTTTCCATTGGATGACCAGAAGTCGGGAACGGTTGTTCCCATAGAAAGCACCCCACACCATGCAACTTCCACCCCCGAATCTGTCGACTTCCTGTACACAACATTGGGCATACCGTTCACGACGTCGTCTCCAGACTCCATGCCTGCCGTACGCGAATCTGAGGGTAAAGACGACTAAAGACGACTCGATTCCAGTCTCTCTGGGTCCATCGGAGGTGACGTTGGGCCCACAGCAGACGTTGACGTTGATGAAACGGCGTCAATATTGGCCCACGATATGGACGTCGAGAATGGAGATTGGCAGCCCTCAACCGATTTCGAAGGGTCTGTGAGGACAGTCGACCTCTAAACATCTCAGCCCTGGTTCGTGTAGCCGGCAGAAATCTGTCACGTAGGTGACGTAGGACGATTTGACGGTCTTCTGCTCGTGACGTCACACGTGGACGACCCGACCGTGGGCGATCAGAAGTGGTGCCAGTTTGTTGTAGACGACCTCGCAAGTCATACACAGCTCATTGCTCTTGCGACGTCAATAACTGATCTTCCCGCTTGCAACCAGCCAACGGCACGTTCACGTTGCACATTTGACAATCGTGGCATTTCAAGTACCGTTAGAACTGTGGTTTAAAAGTGTTTTTTCAATTCTTGAGGCCAATGCAAAGACGTACATATGAAGAACACTTCGATGCGAAGATCAAGTGATCGACTGCACGTGCAAAACCTGATTTGGCACTAACGTCATTTGCACGAGGAATGGATGGGTTTGAGTGGGTTTTGCTAACGTTTTTCTAGAGTCGACAGATAGGGATCCCATTTCGGATACATAGATGTATCATCAGAGAAGAATTATTCATTATTTTTCAAATTACATTTTGTGAAGTTTCTTTTTTGACTCAGTTTAGTTTATGAATATTAGCCTATAGTGATATCAATGTTACATTAATATCTGTGTTTTACGAATATTATCCTTTTTGCCTTATTCTAACTTTAATGGCATTTTACACAAATTTAGATGCTACCTGCAGATGACACGAGCACTGTGAAGTAAGTTTATCTTGTCATTCGAGGATTCCACATTGCCTTTCAAGGTTTTCATTCATAAAGTTACATCTCCACAAAGTTCCTTATCCACACAAGATTCTACCCCAAAAAACACAAGATGCACTGGAGTGTAACTTAAATGTGTATGTACAGATTTTCAAGGTGTGGATTGTAATTGTTAAACCTTTTTCACACTTGATCTCAGCTAGCGGTTCTCTTGAAACATTTATTTGCATCAAGCTCTACCTAACATTATATGTTTTGTGTAAGACGGATGTTGTTGATGATATATGTAAGTATGCAAATCCACCTTGTACACAGCTCTGTTTCACTGAATAAAACTACTTTATGAAGAGTTCATTGTTGCCTACCAACCAAGTAAATGTACCAGCAAGTAAGAGAAGCGGCCAATGAAATTCCTACACATACCAAAAGATTGATGTACTTACAAGGCATATAGAAGTTGGTACTCTGGTATCAGACAAAATATTATGGATGTCTACTACTCCTTTATTCTATCCCCAACGTTTCCGGGCATTCCCTTGCCCCTTCGTTAGCGCCACAGATTAGCAGAGATCAAGGGGTTTACCTACCCAAGACATTGCTTGAATATTGGTAAAACCCATACCCACCCACTTGGTGGTTGAACAAATATTGGCTACCAAAACTGTCCCAGCCGTTTTCTGTAGCTATCTGACATTGTGCATGGTTATCGGAATCAGCTCAAATGTGTGTTGTTTGACACTTGTTGTTTGACATTTTTAGCAATCAAACAGATAGTTATTCTATCGGAGTCAACCATATTTCTGATGTAAAATATGCGACACTCTGTTCTTGTTGTTGAGTTCAACAAAATGAAATGGAGTAGCAGGGATAAGGAAAATGAAAGAGGTCTTAACTTGTTACATTTGTAACATACAATTCCTTTGAATATCTGGAGGTCGCTGCAGCAGAATCCTGAGAGCATGATCTTTAAGATTCACAATAACCGCAGACCTACGATTTGTGTCAGTGGGCCCAGTGAATCAGCGGTATGAACGAAACAGGTAACTGAGTACCTCATCGACCGACCTGATATTTTGACCCATGATTTGCCATTGAAATATTCAGGACCAGCAGCCCCATGGGAATTCCGGGTAAATATTAGCCCCCTTGTTCCCAGCCGGTCATAAGGGACGTGGAGAAGAGACTGGTGGTCAGTCTCGGCGATTCGGTTGATAGCGTGTCCTCAAAACGACACAGCATGGATTGCGGCTTGGAAATATCCATCACTGGGTTATCTGGTGAAGACTCAAATATTTATCCGTCACCGTCGTGTAGCTGGACAATAATTGCTGGTGACGAGGAATGAATGGCAGGATTGAATTAACGCCGGCCATAAGATCAATCATTCTTCGACAGGAGTACTTTTATGTTTTCATTACCCATCGTCATATTTATTTACAATCGGCACATTTAAAAATGAAAACGATTCTTACATTTACCCTTTGTATGACAGGCGTAGCAACGCGTGTAAAACACTACCAAGTTTTGTGCATTTCTGCTACTCAAACTACTCAATGATTTGTTGTTTAACGCCGCACTCAGCAAATTCCATTTACATGGTATCAGTGTGTTTATAAGCGAATCTGGACCAGACAGTCCAGTGATTATCATCATGAGCATCGATCTACGCAACTGGGATACATCATGACATGTGTCAACCAAGTCAGCGAGTCTGACACCCGATCCCGTTAGTGGCCTTTTAGACAAGCATGGGTTGCTGTAGACCAATTTTGACCCGGATCTTCACGGGTACTACACACTGAATCCACGACAGTCAAATAGTCCAATTGAAAAGCATAACGGGGAACATTTACTGTACAAAACATAAAATTGCATAAAATATAAGTTTTCTTAACTTTGTCATTACATGTCCTGATCCAAATAACCTGTGAAGTCTGTATGTACCAAACGAATGCTTAAGTAAACCACCAGAAGTAGCATTCTCTACTTTTATGACCTCAAGTAATTATACCGATATTTTACACCAGTGTCATTTTATTTGAAGCATGCAACAATCTTGAAAAATAACGTATCGAAAATTGTAAACCAATAGTGTGTGTTTTCTGCAAATTCATTGGTCGAGAAACCTTGTCGAACATAGTTCGATTCCCTGAATTACAAAAGCCGAATAACAGCCCAATGATACATAAGAATATGCACTACTTTCATTGCATAATAGAGGCTAACTCTATTTTGTGTGATGCTAATTTTTTTCTTGGTTCCTTTGATAACATTTTTGGAGATGATGCAGTTTTGGAGGAGTTCATGAATGATAAAGGTAAGTATTTCATTTGTTTACCTAACAGAACGCTTATGTGCTTTTTAAAGTATTGATTGAAGAGACGTTCTTTCAACATCCAAAATCTATCGTGGATATCCGCGATTCTGTTTGGTACACCTCACGGTGCGTTGGCAAAAATTCACTGTCACAAATGATAAAAAACATATCCAAGAATGGCAAGTTGCCACACACATTGCAGTAATTGGGATTAACATGAAGACATGTAAAATGTTACTCATCAAGTTGTATTAAAAACATGACTGAATACATTTTGTTGTATGTATTATATTGACAGTTGTTCATTTTGGAACATGACGTAACCTATCTCCCCCATCAGATAATAGCGTAACCCTTCTTGTTGTGTTTCCCGTGTCTGGGGCGACAGCGAACTAGACCACGAGAGGCTAACCGCATTACGACACACGATCTCGCTACGTCAAAGAGTTCATTGAGAAAACGCTTCTCACTAACTAAATTTTAGCGTTTAAAACCTCCGGCTGATGCCGTCGGTTTTAAACTAAATTTGCCTATGTTGAATTCCAATGAATCCCGGAAATTGAACAAACGAAACTATTTATCTTCTAAATACTAACGGAAAAAGTAAATGTGCACAACATATAATTGTTCCTCAACAAACATGTAGCAAAGCTCTTTGAATGAAATGTGATGTCACGTATCGCGCGTAGAGCGTGCACTTTATGCACAATGAATTTACCCACTTTTTGCATGCTTTTTGACACCTGAAGTTCACACACCTGATATTGAACATTGAAGAACGGTTCAGTATTCTCTTGCCTCTGAATGTTGTGGAAAACACGTTAATTACAACCTAAACTGCGTGCACGGCATGCCACGGCTTACAGAAAATAGGCATCTCCGAGGTTGGTATGGCCCAAAATAAAGTGGCCGGACATTTTGGTGTCCATCGAAACACGATCTCATCTCTATGGAGACGTTTTCAACATAATTGGAACACGACAGTTTTGCCTAAGTCTGGCCCTCCACGCGTGACGTCACATCAGCAAGACAACCACATTCAGCTAACCCATTTAAGGAATCGTTTACAGACTGCGTGTTTGGCTGCTCGGACCATTCCTGGCTTAAGTCCAATCAGTTCCAGGACTGTACGGAATCGACTCAGGGAACACAACATCCGGCCCCGACGGCCTACAATACCTCTAATTGTGCCCCAACGCCGCTGACAGGCATGTCTTGCCTGGTGCAGACAGCATTTACGGTACAGGAGACAAGATTGGAATCGTGTTTTGTTGACTGACGAGTCGAGATTTCATCTGGACACCTCAGATGGTAGGGCAATGGTGTTCAGACGGTTTGATGAACGGTATGCTGACCAGTGCGCTATGCAACGTGGACAGTTTGATGGCGACAGCGTTAGGGTATGGGGAGGGCGTCACATCGTATGGTCGGACACAACTTGTCATTGTCAATTGCAATCTGACAGATCTGCGATACAGGGATGAGATCATTGGGACTCATGTGCACCCGTTCATTCAAGGACAGAGACGTAAGGTTACACTTCAGCAAGATAACGCCCGTCTACATATCGCTCGTCTTGTGACAAACTGCCTGGGCATAACATCAAAGTATGCAGTTACTACGAGTATATTTCTCTGAATATGAAACAGAATATTCCGAAATGAAGCACTGAGAATCATCTTGTCGAGTCACCTTCTGTGGTAATGCGGACAAACACATCACAGAAACATGAGAAGTATGTCAGAAAGTAGTCAGTCTCACCTGGAAAATGATACAATGCAATAAATGCATCACAGACTTCAGGAAACAAAATATGCAAGAATCATTTTGTGTGTTTGAGAACGGCAGAAGTCCGCTATAATCAAATTTAGATATTAAAGTGCATAAAAAAGCAATTTGAAACCACATTTGCTCCTTAAAGTGACTCCCCGCTTCATGTCTACTGAAAGAGCTTATTTTGGAGACACTACCCATCCCCTTTCAGATGACGTAATCATAAGGACATAACTTATTCTACTGTTATCACTTATTCGTACATTATGCCAAGTGTTCAAACTTAATACTGAATAGTCACACTAGTAAACAGATTCAGCTTCATTATCTGGATACAGTGTTTTTGAAAGATTAAAATGGGAGTGTCCTTAAAAAACAGCCCCTGTCTAAATATAAATGAAGCAGTCCGAATTTTTGAATGTTGATTACGGGAAGTCATCCAAAACTATACTGAACATTTTTATATGATTTTTTCTATGGGCATACCATTATTGAAGGGGTACCATCTCGTTAACCACATTAACCACATTTGTGAAATTTTAGATATGGCTTTGCCAATGATTCCTTCAAAATAAAATGGAAGCTTTTCAAACATTGGACATCGAGAATATAGTTAGGCTGACTACTTTTCTAACGCCCCTCGTAAGATCGCTTTGGCACTAAGCAAGCTTTGTGCAACGGTGCCTTGGTGATGCTTAGGATTCCTATCAGACCGTAAATCCGTGAATGTCTGTGATAATTATTATTTTCTTGTAAGTATTAATTGTTCAAGTAATTTTATCAAGTGACCACTGATTACTGGGTGTTTGGGTGGCATTTGCATTAAGGCGATTAACACTATTTGAACATTGAAACAAGTATGTTGGTAGCAAATCGATGACTTTTTGAAATATTGAAAATAGTCATTATCCATCCGCCGATTTGGAACTTGGCATGAATGGTCACCGCGTCACTTCCGGGTTTTATAGTGGGTCTATAGTCGACCGTGGGTCTGCCGGAAGTTCGGCAGTTCATTTCTCTGGCCGCCTTACCCCAAAAGGACGTAAAAAGATTATCCTTTTTGCTACCCTGCATGGCTTTCAGCATTTAAGGTATCAAACAAACATGGATGGGGTGTTATTAATAATAATAATAATAGATGGATATTTCTTGTGCGTCATAGTCCTCCCAGAGCATGCTCAAGGCAGAGTCACTAGAGTTCATGAGGAAAATATGACAGTTCGTCAAAAAGACCATCAGAATATTGGCAGTTATAGGTTTTAGAATTTTTTAAAGGGGCACGTTTTGATTTATGACTCGAATGCTTCAAAATATGAAGCACTTTTGATGGCCGAAGGAAGATTGTTCCACAGGGTTGGTGGGCAAATTTGACTGATCTATGTCCAGAGTGTTTGAGATGAACTTGGGAAACTGAGAGAAGATCTTGATTCAGGGAGCTGAGAGAACAGGCAGGCAGGAACTAAATACCGAATTTCATCTCGTCCTTACCCACTGGCGTTCTAGAAACTTATAATTGTCAGTTCGATTTACAGATTGGCCCCGATTATGGTTCTAGGTTTGCGTGGGTTTCACGAAAGCAGCAAACATCGAGGATATTTATCAAATCAGAATACCCTATCTAGTCAAGCTGTTCAAACAGCGCTTCATTATATGCACACAACGTTAATAAACAAGCAATATCAGAACATCCAGTGTGCAGTGAATGATATCTTTTTTCACAACGTGAACATTAATATGTTTCCCAGCATTTCCCGATAATATCAGTTTGGCACTGTCTCCTGAAACAGAGGCACTGCTACATAATTATATGAGTAATAGAAGAAACTGACACAAAACAAACAGTAGCAAAGAGGTGTATGAAAGACAAATATGTCTTGATACTAGGGCACCCAGTTATCCTGCTTAATCTAGTGGTGTCTGTAGGTTCAAATCAATGATCGATCAATGACCATGATGCAGATAAGTCGATAAACACGACAATGATGGATCTCTTTTGTCAGTCATCGACAGAATTATATTCTTGAAAGACGTGTTTCACCAGATGTCACCTTTAGCAACATTAAAAAGGATAAAAAATGTTTTGGAATAAAAAAACATATCACTTACTAATCTCTGTACAAATAGCTAATGCTGGGGAATATTAATTGTGTTTTTACATTCATTATTGTATGCTATAATGTGACTTGATAACGTTTCGTTAATAGAATCAAAATCGTACTTTTTTTCTTGATCAATGGGGGTATTTATAAATAATGCGGGCAACGGGTAATAGTTTGTTAATTAAATGGAAGAAATGCTTCAAATATGAATTGACCAACTGACCTTGGAAATTTCATAACCCGAGTCATAAGTGCAGCTTCAAAGTCCCTCGTATTACGGGCCGTCAACTCACACGTGTTCTTACAGCTGAGCAGAACATTCTTTACGATTATGTACTTACGATTAGGATGCCAATGTTGTCAAAACATCTTCAGAGTGATAATGCAGGTAATTTATCTTGAAACCGAAAATATGTCTTACGTTTTTTACTACCCTTAACAATTTTCGGAATGTTTCGAGAGGGCTGACATATACTAATCACACTTTGCTAATGATCATAAAACTTCACAACTTTACTTAAACGTAGACTTATAATTTGAAATTGTTTCCATTTAAAACTGGATAAATAATTATATGGTAACCTTCTTTAGGCAAACAGTCACTTTAATCTAACCTTATGCCCTTGAGACATGTGTAACCATAAAAATGGTTTTAATGGCACCAATCAACCATTTTGCAAATCATGAAATGAGTCGTTGATAAATAAACAACACATGTCAATAGCAAGTATAGGATCCACAAGATGCAATGACATACTGAAACCTAGGATCCATGCTTACAATAAGCTTAGGTATTTATACCAAATTTGACCCTACTTAATAGTTTTCTGTTGAATCCATGATTTGATCCTTGTGTGAATAGTATATATGTGTACTCATGAGTAGTTACCCGAACCAAAAAGGAGACGGTTTTAGTACGTTTAGTCCTCATTGTAGAATGCGGAAAGGACTTTTGTGTTTTGAAATCGAAGGTTATTATAAATGTGTGAGTAAGAGAGTGAGTTTAGTTCGACGCCTCCTTTTGCAATATTCCAGCAATTTCACGATGGGGGGGACCAGAAATGGGCTTCACACAGTAAACCCATGTGAGGGTCGAACCTGGGTCTTCGGCATGATGAACGAACACTTTAACCACTGGGCTTTAACCAATGTGTGAAGCCCATTTCTGGTTTCTCCCGCCGTGATATTGCTGGAATATTGCTACAACCGGCGTAAAACTAGACTCACTCACCCAAAGACTTCCACTGTTTGTCTTATTGGCAATTCCATCTCCTATTAACGCCTTATACAACAGACCCCATGGCTTTATCCTCAGTCTTTTCTGTTTAATGTCGCACAAAACAATAGTCCTACTATTTGACAACATGACCCTATTAACCAATGCCCCTTTATACGGAAATGTTCAACAAACTGTATCTGATGATGTCGCCAGCGAACCCAATTATGGTTCGTTTAAATATCTTTCAGCATTGAATTACCCCCAACAATCAATGTCATGTTACATTAGGTAGAGGTTGGGGCATTGTCTGCAAACACTTACATCAATAGGTACCACTTCCTGATCACAGCATGAAGCATGTTGTAAGTGAAAATCATGAACGGCACACGAGCACACTACGTGGAGTTAATGATTTTGTTGGCTGCGTGCTGTTCTGTAGGTCATTTGCTATTGCCGTGTAATTTATACAAGAACGCCTTTCCTCTTTATCAGTTGCAAGTTCCGCCCTTCGTTGGCTCACACAGGTACTTCCTAAAGCGCATGCGCATGATTATGATGAGCTCCCAATTAGCAGTCATGCTGTACAGTTAGTGGAGAGTGTTATTAGTGGATTTGACACCTCAATTGACTGTCAGTCATGGAGTTTACTGCATCCAGTGTGATTCTGTTCCAATTTATTGTCGTCTTCTGTAACGGCATCAGCCCAACTACTATCCTGAATCTGGGTGGTTCATTCGACAAGATGCTTCAGGGGCATGGTTATGAGTTGTTGAAAGTTAAAACACTGGAACATTGTCACAGAATTTGTCTGTACTCACCGAAATGTTTGTCTGTAAATTGGAACGTGAAGACAAAGTATTGTCAACTGAACTCGGAAGACTCCGTTACTGGAACTCCTCTGACGATGTCCACGGGAGACTTGTATGTCCCTGCGCTGAGTTCCAACATCAAGGTATGTCATGTGATTAGTGTGTTTTACTACTGCATCGCCATTGTTAGTTAGTTAGATTGTTCCCCCCGACAGTGCAACGCAAGTCCACCTAAATATCAAAATGAAAAGAGTTCCTGACGTTCCCCCATATTTTTTTGTAACATTACAGTGCCTGGGGCACTTATCATACAACGTGGATCGACCCTATATACTGTAATTAATTTAGGGGCTTTTAATTTATTTTGTGAGTTCTCTAGTATTTGTTGTGTTAGGTTTTGTTAATAAGTTTGGTATATATTAATTTATACGTATTATTTGGGTGGGACACCCAAGCAGGTATCAATAAATTACATTCAATAAAACCCTATATTGGTTACACCTACTTGGGTTGTCATTCCAGATTTGAAGAGGTCATTATGCGACGATGTCGTATTGGCAATACTAGATATACTCATGAATACCTGTTAAAAGGTGAATATCCTCCGTTTTGTATCCCTTGTGTTGACAGAATCAAGGTCAAACATGTTCTGTTTGACTGTATTGTTTTTTTTATCGCAAGGCATAAATATTTCAATGTCAAAACAGTTAAGGATCTTTTTTACAATGTTAATTATCATTTAATAATTGAATAATTGAATTTTTAAAGGTAATAGTTTATTGCATAAATTTTTTTGAATAATATGTTTTGTAAAGAAAAATAATGGTATTTTAAACACGGTAGTATATATTAGAAACTGCGATTGTTAGTGGCTGTATCCTCGAAGGGGGTTAAAGTATCGTAAAATCATTGTCCCCCTGAGAGGGTACGTAAGTCCCAGAACACCAAAGTCTATTTAGCTCTACCAAACCTTTAATCGTACTATATTTGTTATTGTTAATAATGGCTAAAACTGTGCCTAAAAAGCCAGCAGCTGAAGGGATGGTGTAAATCCAGCTAGGGACCATGCAGGTCTATACTGATTTAATTTTATGTTAGCGTACTAGTTTAAAATTTATATCTGTGATGCTCTAGTACTTTTACTCTCCTTCGATGACAGGTTTGCATATTCTAAATTTATTGATTGTAATATTGTTATAAATTAACTTGTTCCGTCACGATATGGATGAAATATTGCCGATGTGACGTTAAATATTAACTCACTCACTCACTCACTCACTCACTCACTCACTCACTCACTCACTCACTCACTCACTCACTCACTCACTCACTCACTCACTCACTCACTCACTCACTCACTCACTCACTCACTCACTGTTATTTGAAATGGGGAAACGGAAAAAGGATATAACATCAACTAGTGTTTTAATTCCCAGACATCATCTTGATTCTTTTTTTTTCATATAACCACTGGTCACCACAGTATAACGCAAATCCTGCAGGAAGCAAAAGCACCGTAAATCCCCATGATCCCCGCTAAGGTGGTCTTACGTTGGTTGCTCGTGGTCTATTACCTTGTTTCATTGTACTCTAAATAATCTGATGAAAAATTAATTGTTTTAATACTAATATGGTTTGTTTTATGATTATACTGTGATACATACCTTACTGTATCGCTGTGCTTAGATGTAAATCTTTTACTCACACAAGTAATGTAGTTAGTTGGTTAGATGGCCACCTATGCATCACAGTTACGATATGACGTCACCCACCATTGACATCTACATCTGACTTATAGTCTGTTGACAAACCTAGATGAGGACGAATCTGAGATTCGAACCAACCATCATACCTTCTTCTAAGCTTAATTGTTGTACTTTTTGTAACCGTGCCTTTATTTATGGGATAAAAAAGAACTGGTAGGTTCGGAGTCAGTAATACTGTGTCCATGTTTAAACTGTGAAAGGATGGGTCATAGTGAACGACGGGAAATCGTTATATTTGACGCAAGCCAAATCAAAATAATGTACGAATACATTTATAATTTTCAGAAAATACGCCAATTCACACTAATGGTTATGTAATTTTTATATCTGAAAGTGTGTTTACGTAAGTTCATATGTTTACACGTCTATATCTGTGTATTCCTGGCCGGGTCTGTGTTTAATTCTGTTTGTTCTTCCTATCGTTTTTTCGTTTATGGATTATCGTGATCTATACGCCCTGGACATTCGTGTGAAGAACAATGAAGTTTAATTCTTTTTGTTAGGGTTTTTCTTTAAAATTAGTATTTCCTTTCAAATGTTTTCAGCCTTACTTGTAAGATTCATCGATTTCATTTTATGATTACCTGGGCAAGATATTATTTATGACGCTTATCCGTCATCTTTGTCATGGCTTGCTCCGCCATTTAACGCTATTGTTCTATTATACAACATCTCCACATGTTTTTAAACGATTCTGTCATCTCTCGCTTGGGGTGGCGGGATAGCGTAGTGGTTAAAGCGATCGCTCGTCCACATGGGTACAATGTTTGAAGCCCATTTCTGGTGTTCCCCCGCCGTGATATTGCTGGAATATTGCTAAATGCGGCGTAAATCGAAACTCACTCTCTCTTTATATCAGTCTAAGTAAACTTAGGATGAGTATTATTCGTTACACTGCTATACTGAGTCTAACAAAACCTTGTGGAAGGTCGCGTCAGGTAACCTTTGAGCGACCTATGACTGTCCAATCAAACGCGAGAATTTAACCGATCAGACAACGGCTACTATTTAGGATTCGGCGGGACTTACAAAATGGATTTACTCTTCCCCTCATCTCACAACAAATGAAAACCCGCATAAAACACAGATATATGACCTGCAGAATATACGCTGTGGGGTTTCTGTCGACTTGGTTATCATTAGCTAATATTTCCGCAAGCTGACATCCTTGAATACTGACAAAACGCATTTTCAGCGACTGTTTAAGCGATCGTACGGAAAATAGCATTCGGAATCGTACGGGTACAAAACTTTTTCGAGGTAAAAGTTCAAAAGGTATGTGCGAATGTCACCTTTCGTGATTTGATAAGCTTGGTTCTGATTGGTCAATTGAAAAGGTTACCTAACGCGACCATACTTAGACTCTCTTTATATCAAACCCTGTCTGACCTGCTCTCAAGTGAGTACGATTGACATCGTTTTTCACGTGCTTATACGTTTGTTTATTTTGCTTGTTGCGCTGTTTGTTCAAAGTATCTGTTCATCCTAAACATCTTTGGACCAGCGTTGTTGAACTCAACTTACCCTCTCAAAATTCTGGTGAAATGAAAACTGATTATTGTCACTCATGTTGGAAAAATATTCTCTACACAAACAACAACCCTGCTATACAAATAATGAGACCATCAGAACAATTATCTTCAATGACACTATGTTGCCAGGTGAGCTACAGTACATGGTATCTTCTTGGTGGTTTAAATCCAAGACTCCATGTACATAGTGAAACAGCATTGTGCATGAACTTGTGTACCGTTGAACACACTTTGTAAAACATTTGGC